AATTATAATAACGATAGTGTCGGCCCAAATTATCATTAAATTCTGGCCAATAAAATTGCATGCACGTGATTTGATTCATTTCAAATTTGGGCTAGTCATATGAAATCATCCGATTTTAAATGCTTATAACTTTTTATGTAGACATTATTTTGGAAATCTGACTGGTAATTTAATAGCATTCATCTTAAAGAATAAAGTTACTAGTTTATTTTATTAAAATTTTACTTTTTTGAGAAGTTGAAAAATTTTAAGTGTTACAATTTTTATTGTCAAGTTAAGACTTCTGACACCATAGAAAATCTAAACGAAAGGTAAGGAGCGGTTCGGAAAGACATTACATCAGGCCGAAAGGTAAGCGATATAAAAGTATTTCAGAAGGTAAACACTCTAAGAAATCAAAAGGCATGTGATACGAGAACAGTTCGAGCAGTCCAGAAGATAGTTCAAATGAAAGTTCCAAAGCTGAAAGAAGTTTACACGATAAGAGAGATAAAAAAATGGGCGAAAAATATGCCAGGGTTTGTCTAATTTTCTTAGACGATTATATATTTTATGGTATTGCCGATACTTATCAAATTTCCATTTTTTCTTGCTTTTTTTGTAAATAATTTAGGCGGGGATGAAAACTATATTAAAGACTCTTCCACCCGAACTCGATATGAATTACGAAGAAACGTTCAATAGCCCAGCGAATGTTAAAATTCGAAGAAGACTAATTCTTGAATTAGTAAAGTCATTAAAGCCGAAACATCGTGCTTTGTCAGACCAAATTAGCAATTGGTTATAATCATTACATAGATCCTGAAGAAGCTGAAATAACTATAGAAATAAGGGACAAATCGACAGTGATAATCGACGCTTACATGCCAATGGTCGTTTAAGTGAGGTATGATTTATTGCTTAAATTTTATATATTTATTATATATATATAACTAACTTTCATATTTACAATAAACAATTTAGAAAATGGCTCGCTGAATAAAGGGAGCAAAATCCCTCTATACAATCAAATACCAAGAAGTTATTGATTATGATAAGATGGAATTGATTACATTATTGGCGAATAAAAAAGTTCACTTACCGGAATTGAGTGAAACTGACGAGGAGAATGATACAATGCGTAATATCTGCGAATACGACCTTTCCTAGAGATCAGACAAGGTTCTATATCTGATATTTGTTTTTTTTGTATATATTTGATACTTACATTATTATTTATTACTTTATTTTAGTTAAAGCAACTTCTCTGTAATGTGCTCGATCCGCACGCATTAACGTTACAAACTGCTTAATTAGTAAGAGCCCGCCATTACGATGACAAAAATCAGTGCTATGAACTTTCACATCCGGTAAGCGCACCTGAATGGTGCTATGTGAAGCAAGAAGACTCAGTTTATGATACCGATATTGAAGGTAAATATATCAAATTGTGTTTAAAACTTATTTTGTAATTAATATGCTAATATTTATTGTCTTTAAGGTGACTGATCACCTATTATTCCTACGCATGATGAAGAAAAAAATGATGACGAATATTTTGAAATTCAAGACTAAGTAAGAACTGATACATTTATTCATTTACTTTTCGTTTACTTTTCGTTTATTGATCTATTCGTTTTATTTTTTATTTTATTTAGGAATTTTAGGGCAAATATTCGTTATTGTATATTATTGTATACTTTTATTTACAAAATATAATATTACCATAATTAAATATAAATAAATAAATTGTTATTTTATAAATGTTATATGTTAAATAAAAGCTACATAATTCGATATAGTATTGACTACCGAATGTTAGTTGAAACTACGTAATTCGATATAATGAATGCTAATATAATTGTTTGAATGTTAACCGATAGTTTGTCACGAAATTTAACCGAAGTATGACCAAAATTTACATTCGAATGGCAGCGAATCGTGCCTAAGATTTCAATCAGCATTAGTATATAATTCAGTTTAAAATCGGCCAGCTGAAATTTAGCTGAAGTGGACTATTTCGACTAGTGTATAGGAAATATACTCATATAACTACTTTTTGATAATATGGTAAGAGAAGGTTCATACATTGTGTTCTTTCAGTTAGTAATTCAGTTTTAGTTTCAATAGCCTTTCCTATATGCCAGAGGACTATTAGTATTTTGACTCAATTTTTTAAGCTTTTTGCTTTTCTAAGTTGTCAAAGTAGAGATTTCACTTATTGTAAAGCAGTATAATTATGCTGATAAAAAGGAGATAGAATATCTGGATAAAGTGGTTCAGTTTGTTGTAAGTCTGCTAAAATTTGATTATATAGTTCTATTTTAAATTTGAGAAAAAGGGTGAAGTTCAATCAATATCTACTCTACACTGATCGAAATCAAAAAAATTGGACATGCAAAAAATCGGCCTAAATTTGGCCTAAATTCGGCAAATTATCAAAAAATCGGCCTAGCCGATTGGCATACACTAGAAAT